TTTACCTCATCCCTGCACCTCAGAGCTTCACTCCCTTCCACCTCTCACGCTCCGCAGAGGCCTCAACTGACCCAGGCTCCTTCCAAGACCACACCCTGGAGGGCTTCTTCTTTCTTTTAAATTTTTTGGGTTTTTTTGTTGTTGTTTTTAAATATATCTTTATTGATTTCAGAGAGAGAAAAGGAGAGGGAGAGAGAGAGATAGAAATATCAATGATGAGAGAGTCATTGATCGAGCCCACAACCCGGACATGTACCCTGACAGGGAATCGAACCCGGATCGCCTGGATCCTAGGTCAATGCTCAACCACTGAGCCATGCCTGGCCGGGCAATTTTTTGTTGTTGTTGTTAATCCTCACACAACAATATTTTTTCCAGTGATTTTTAGAGAAAGTAGAAGGGAAGGAGGGAGGGGAGAGAGAGAAAAAAAACATCGATGTGAGAGAGACACATTGATTGGCTGCCTCCCACATGTGCACCAACCGGGCTGGGGATTAAGCCTGCAACAGAGGTATGTGCCCTTAACCAGAGACCCTTTGGTGTGTGGGGCCAGTGCTCTAACCACTGAGAACACCAGCCAGGGCCCAGGAGGGCTTCTGAGCCACATGCTAGCTAGGTTTGTTTTTTTAAAGCAATTAATATATTTCCCCACATCCTCAAATTTTCAAAACAGACCTATATAAGACTCCCTTTCTCAGAGGCCTGATTCTTACGGAAACGTTCTCTCCGTGGCAGTCCATGCTCCAGCTGTACTCCCACAGCTTGGCTGGCAGAGGTGGTGCCACAGCGACTCTTACTCACCCAAGGGGCCCATGCTGTGGAGAATCCGCTTCCCTCAAGGGCCCAGAGGGCAGGCTGTTTCGGGGCCTTCTCAAGCACATGTGGGAAAGAAACGATGCACGCAGAAGTGTTCCAAATCTCTTTACGGGTTTAAGAATGGCTGATCTCCATGGAGGGAGTGGGAGAGCCATCCATCACTGCACTTTAGGTGAGACACTGTGCTGTAGACCGTGGGGTCAGCCAGGACAGAGCGCCCACAGCAAAGGCCTGTGTGGGCTGCATTCACTGGGCTCTTGTTCAGCAACTAAAGAGAAGCTCTCCTCTTTGGTGCTGGTGGCTGAGAAGTTCAAAGCCAAATTTGGATTCATCTCCAGCAGTTACATGGGACCCTTGCCCTGCGTATTTCTGTTTGCCTCACCTCTTTCTGGTACCTATTTAACCCTCTGGCACTGCCAGCTGCAGTCCTTCCTAGAGAAGCAGGGCAAATGGGTGAAATGGGCGCACCCTCTAGTTAACAGGTCATTGCGGACGGTGCATGAGGGCTGCCCTGCAGGCCAGCTCCTGGCCGGAATGAAAGGCTGGCCTGAAGGAAGCACTGATGTCCCCCGGAAGCAGACCTGAACCACCCACAGATGGCTTCTTGGCATCAGCCAGAGTGCTGAAGGTGCCACCAGGCAGGGTATCCATCAGGATAGCCTGAAAGACTATGCAAAGCAGCCACTGCCCTTCAGTTCTGGGGCTTCAGGTCGGTTCTGATTTACTCGAGGGAATCCGAGGGCAACGAGGATTTCCAATTCTCCATCTTCCTTCCGTTTTCTCTTCTTTTTCTAAGAATGGGAATGCTGGCAGTGGATCTCCTCGCCAGAAGCCCAAGGCACCAGCCCACGGACACCGTCATGCTACAGCAAGGCAAGTGTGGCTGGGTTCTGGACACCACCCAGGGAGCTGCACAAGGGGGCTGAGAGGACGAGCTGGGCTTCTCTCCTTCTGTCATTAGCCCCTCCCTCCATGTAGGCAAACCCAGGAGCAGAGATGCCGGGAAGGGAGGTCTAGCTCCGGACCCTGGAGCATCCATGTCAGAGGACAGCAGCAATCTTTATATTCCAGGCTTCCACCTTGACTCACAGGGCAATTCTCCCAACCCCCATGTGGAGCTTCTGATGTGGGTTTCCGCCGCCCCAAGAACATCTACAATTATCCACAGCCTGCTGAGTGCCATGACTGGCTCTGCAGAATGTGGGAGGGTAGACAGAGCCTGTGGTAGGGGGACAGGTGGGCTGTTTGCTCCATCCAAGCTGGCTCCCTGTCTGTGTGGTCTTGGGCAAACCCCAACCCCTCGCAGCCCGAGAGACCTTCTCAGGCCCCACAGCTTCACCTGCACACAGCAGTCCTGACTACTCATACAAGATCAAGTGAGGCAGGCAGCGCAGGGGAGCCCAGGAGCCAGCCTCGATAGGGAGGGCAGCCAGTTCACCAGGAACATGGACGCCACTATGTGAGCATGAGTGACAGGTGAGCCAGAGTGCTGAAGGCATCTTCAGCCCAGAATTTTTTCTAAGCCCTAGACTTCTCAGCCCTTCTACACACCTCCACTTGCAAGCCTTCCAGACACTTCAATGTGTCTAGAACGTGATCCCACCTCTGCTCAAACTGCTCTACTCACAGCACCCTCCCGTCAAGGGACGGCAGCTCCTTCCCCCAGCTGCTGAGTCAGTAGTCATCAGAGCTGTCCCAAACTCCTCTCACCAGGGTCAGCCCTCTAGCAAGTCTCATTGCTCTCCTTTACAATATACCAGACCTCCACAGCCCCATCCGATCTAGACACTTCATCTCCCACCTGGATAAGGGCAGTGGTCTCCTGACTGGTCTTCCTGGGCCCACCTTGCCCCAAACATAGCCAGAGTCCTCCTACGCCTTCTCATCCCTAAATCGGATCAAGTTCCCCCTCGGTTCTAAACCCACCCCTGCCTCCCTAGCTCACTGAGTAAAAGCCAAAGGGTTTGCACAATGACCCAAAGGCCCTATACCGGTCTAGTTAGCATATGGTACCCAACAAGGTAAATAAAGTGAGGAAAAGCATTTACAAACTTTTATAGCAAGCTGACATTGCTATAAAACCTAAACACTGATACAAAAGTATCAGTCTGAGATGGATTAGAAATGAGTCAGTTTGAGAAGCAGGCCTACCCTTCCCCAGGCCTGCCCTCTGCTATATGCCTACCCTGACCTCACTAACCACTCTCCCTCAAGCAGCTCCTGCCATACTGGCTGCCTTCCTGTTCCCCTTCCTGCTCTGCCAACACCCTGAGCAGACCCCCACCCCAGGGCCTTTGCACTGCTGCTCCAGCCCTCTGCCTGAAATGCTTTTCCAGATGTTCAACAGCTCATTCCTCCTCCTCCAATCCTTGCTCTAGCATGCCTTTCTCAAAGAGGCTGTTGACACCCCCCTTAATACTGCAGACCACCTTCCCTACTCCTCACGCTCGGCCAGGCTGCTTTGGGTTTTGTTTGCTTTTTCATAAAGCACTCATCGCGTAATGTGCTGTATGTCTTATGTTTATTGTCTCTCTTCCCATTAGTAATGGCGGGAGCTCCGTTTTGCGCTTAGCACAGTGCCTGGCACACAGTGGGGAATGAATACATCCTTGCTGAATGAACAAGGAAACGCGGGAGCCAGAGTGCAGATAGGGCACGCTTCACTGCGAGTGGTGCCCCAAGGCAGACCTCAGCAGACCCAAGCTGGCAGAGGGCAACCAAGGACCACTAGGAAAGGGACTTGTCTGCCATGCCAAAAGCGCTGGGCTGGGCCCTCTGGGGACCCCTGGGATCCAGAGGAGCTTTCTGAGACCTAGGATCAGACATGATTTATCAAGTTGGAGGGTGAATAAGAATGGGGAGGCTAACAGCAAGGAAACCAATCAGAAAGCTGGTAGTGAATTGAGGCCATGGAACTAGAGATGCAGGAGAGCACTGGAGAGGTTTCCAAGATCAGACCTCTAGATGTCTGTGGAAGGTGAGAGGGAGGAGACAGGGAGGGTAAATGGGTACGGTACGGAGCAGGCAGCTCTCCTCAACCACCACTGCTGTGGGTAAGAATAGCAGCCAAAGCGTCAGAGCCTCCCCATGATGCTGGCTCTCCCACGAAGGGATCCTCTTGGCAACTGGCCTCCCTTGCCCTGCCCTGAGTCTGCACCTGTGTCCACCAGGCCTCCCCTGAGGGGTCTGGGGTCCTAAGTGTGCCTCTCACAAATGTCACCCCTGAATCCCAGCCTGCATTTCACCAGACCATTCCTGGATGGCTGGCATCAGTCTAACTTCTCCACTGCTGGACTACAAGCAAGTATGTTCAAAGCAAGTCCACCAATGTGCATATGTTAGCATTTACCTTACACTCGGCACTTTGCTAGATGCTAAGAACAGAAGCCCCGCGATGCAGCCCCATCATGAAGACAGTGTGAAGTGTGGAGGGGAATGTACATGTGCACAGAGAGTGTGAAGTGTGGAGGGGAGTGCACACACAAAACGGTGAAGGGTGAAACAGACACCAGTAACACTTGTTTGCCTAAAACCCATCTAGGGCAGGAGAAATGATCAAACAAACAAATTCATTTTTATCCTTAATTTCTACCAGAGCTGAAGGAGAAGAAAAATCCACATGGGCCATATACCTTGAGCAATGTGCCAGAGGTGCCGGGAGGCCCCAAGTGAAAGAACTGCAGGGCAAAGATGCAGAGAGGGAGACTGGCCTGGTAGAGCAGGGTGTCTGGTCCTAGCATAGAGGGAGGAAGTGGAAGGGGCATGTCAGCCTGATTTTAATATGCCAATGTCCCAGGAGAGCCAGCCTGCCACCAGAAGAGCTGGAGGGCCAGGTGAATGCAGCTAACCACTGAGCTCACAACAGACCTTGCCAGTTACTACATGGGTAGAACCTGGGAAACACGAAAAGGGAGCTCCTGGAGTTCTAGGGACCCCAGGGTCCCGCTGGGAACAGTCCCAGAGATCTGATGGGAGAGGCAGGCCTGCAGCTCAGCACACACTTGGGGCTCCTTGGGAACACAGTGTAAAGCTGGCCCTCCTTACAAAGTCCCCTATGAACTGTTCGGGGGTACAAAGGAAAATACCCGAGAGCTAAATACAGTGATCACACAAATGCCCACGTCCAACAAACTGCAGTATTAATGAGGCGGGAATAAACAGTCACTGTTCCCAGGGCTGAACACAGGCTGGCCACACCTTACTGGGAGTCACAAAGGCTCTTTGTCGGTATCCCTTCCAATAACAGCTTTCTCCTCTGTAGCAGGGCCCACTGGGGACCAAGGTAGATTAGATTGAGAGCATTTTCTTGTCAACAACAGTGAAATCTGTTTCCAGTTTAACCTGTAACAGTTGTATGTAGTCTCTGACCATGATACATTATTAGTCAAAAGAGAAGCCCCATTTTTAATTACCCATTGAATTAGGTGTCTTCAAACACTGTGACCTAGAATAGACAGTACAGCTAACTCTCTGTTTACCATGGTAATGGGGGTTTCAGGAAGAACAGCAGTTAATTGAGAAGCAAAAACAATCCCGTTTTGTCCTCAGCAGCACTATCACTGCACCAAGGACGATGGGTTCCAGCAACCATCCACCGAGGCCTCCCGGGTGTGCCCGGCACTGCGAGATTTAAACCACACCTTTCTGGCTCAGCAAGCCAAGTGGTCTGGTCCTCCATTGCACCTGGGTCTGGCAGCCAGCAGAGTCCTCTCCAATTTTTTCAGGGCACAGGGACACAGGAGAGCATGGACAGCCACCCCATGCCTGAACCAAACAGCCGCTCCCCTATTAAGCCTTTGGCAGAACTTCTAGCAAGTGACATGGCACAGTGTGAAGGGAGCATGACCAGGATTTAAGCTCCTAGGGGGAGAAGAAGAAAGGGCCCTGGGTCTTCTGGAGGCTGGACCATGAGGTCCAGAGGAGACAGGGAGAGAGTTGGCTGTACTGACATGACAAGCACCACCCC